AACATTTTTGGTTTTGACTCATTGTCTTGGTTAACTTACTAAGTTTAACAGGCTATGTATTACTAAAAGCTCTTATCGACTAAGTATCAAGTTACCGAAATTACCAAGTTTTAGTTGCTATCTAAAACAATAAAACTAGGTACATTTGTGAGAATTCGTTGAAATAAGTTTACGCCCATGTTCCTGTTATTCTCTTTATCATGTTACTTTCGTAGCAGCCTACGCATTCACGTAGGCGTAGCTACGTTCGTAGTACTGTGCGTGGGCAGATAGAATTTTCCTCTTGGATAATTTTGTCTACGCTTTTATATTGTTTTAACAATGACAGATGGTAAATAATATAATAAAATTTTATAGAATAGGTACACTTATTTACTGCCCTACGTCTGTTTTGTACTCCAAGTAGCAAGTTGTACCAAAATACTCGTCTATCTAGACCCCAAAGACCAATATACAGTCATCATAATAAATGGGCAATCTGCCAATAAGCGTTTATCATTGCACCTGTCTATTACCCCCACTGCCTTCAGCCTCCTTCTCTCCCCCGAACGTCTTTGAGTGATCATATATCACTGCCTTCAATAAGGTGCCAACAGGCAGGGAGATGTTAGAAAAACATATTTAGAGGTGGTATTTGTGATGATTTGCAACATTTAGTGGTAAAATCCCAAAAATAATGCAGTGTTTTTTTTTTGAAAAATCGGGTCGGTTATTTTACTTTTTCATTTTAGTTCTAATTTGAAAATAATTAATTAATTATTATATAATTAATATTATTAATTAAATAACTAATTTGAAGATATTTGAATGATAAGGATGGAAGTAAATTTATTTGCTACTCCTCGCACTCAGTGACGATTAAAAAATGCAAAATAGCCGTGATTGCGTTGAATATTTTTTTCATGCAGTGAATTTTGTCGATTGTTCGATACTCGACTGTCACCTACACGTTCTGTTACACCCCGTATGTGAAAAGGATAAAGCAGGCCAGTAAAGAAAAACAAAAAAATAACATACTCTTTTGGTGACCGTGAGTGAAGCTATAGCGTTGAGTACGACGCTTTGCACTTCAGTGGGCGCCCTTAATAGACGGATCATGGCTTTGGCGACTGGAGGAAGTTCTTGCACTGTAACAACACAAACATGATTTTCGATCACTTCATCTTTAACTGTATAATGGAAGTGAGGAAAAATGCCGAAATGGAGACAAGTCTTTCTAATGAGCATTTCACTATAAAAATACACAATACGACGCCACCATATTACTAATAGCTCTATTATCTCGCTCTAGTAACGGCCTTTTGTCAAAGTCGAGTGTCGATTTGTGACGACTTTTTTTTTGGAACAAAAGTTGGACTACAGCTATACCGACTTCACATAGTTCTTGCTTTGGAGCAGAAGTTTGGCAGCTTTAAGCAACAGTTTGTACTCAAGGTTAAGACTTACGTCACTGCGTCGAATGCTTTTTGTAGCAAAGACTTGGTAGTTCTAAGCAAAAGTCTGTAGTCAGAGTGGAGGCTTTGTGACTAAAAGAAGTGTACCTTAGTGTGAAATTTTAATCTAGGTTAGATTAAGGTTCGACAGCGATACAACAGTTGAACTACAGCTGTACAGACTCCACATAGTTTTCACTTTGGAGCAAATGCTTGGCGATTCCAAGCAACAACCTGTAGTCAAGGTCGAGACTTTGAGACTCCGCCGAATGCTTTTGGGGATAAAAACGATACCTAAATTTTAACTTACCAGGTCCACAGTGATAGAACAGCTGTGCTACAGCCATGACAACTCCTGAGTTCCTGCTCTGCAGCAAAGGTTTGGCCGCTCTAAGCAATAGTCTGTGGTCAGGGTCCAGACTTGGAGAGTGAGAAGATTGTTTCTTGGGACCACTGCCTTCGGAGTCTGAGTCATAGAACGGTTTGTCAGATTCGCTGTCTGTTGAATAGGCCTAAAAGGTAAAAACATTGACTATGAATAAACAAGACCATGCAATGCAGATATCTTAATATACCCATTTACCTAAATAAAGGGATTTTAAGACGCACATCAATAAAGCTATGAGGCAGTGTTGTTATGCGAAATGCTTTTGTGGCTGCCTCATTTCTGCAGTGCATCGGGGATGTTATGGAAGCAATCCATGCGCGCTTCAGCGAGGAATTGCAGCTGGGTAGTTCGCACTAATACCGTAATCCGGTGGAGAACTCATCGCCCATTAAAATATCAATTATTAAAACGTGCGAGAGTCTATTTGAGTCGGCCCATGGGACAAAGGCTAGTGGTGCCAGGTATAACTTAAAGTCAAGAATTAATGAGAGTCTGCATAGGAAGGAACGTCGGAGTTTAAGAAACATTTTGGGTTGCCCAGACAGAAGAGTGAATTGAAATGATAATCATGGCTACAGATTCACCGCAGCCTTAACTTTTAATGTATTCTAATTACTATTAATATTTAATAATAAACACTCAGAAAAAATTCCTTCGATCCGGTCGGATTCGAACCGACGTCTTCTTGCATACCGTGCCAGACGCTATACCAACTAAGCCACGGAACGAACCAACGGACCTTACGAATTTATCCATGTGCTTGCGTCGTGTCTTTGTACTTGGTCTTTCAACGACTTTTTAGTCGTAGCGCCATCTATGAGAAATCTATGACAGATTTATCACCCAGTTAGTACCTTTACAGCTACCAGTCCTGGCGAGAGATGTCGCTATTCACTGTATTAATTAATTTTTTATTGAATTGATATTCAATTATTTTTTGTGAAATTACTCCACTAGTTTGTTATAATTATTAATACAAAGATCGAACACTCAGAAAAAACACTCAGAAAAAATTCCTTCGATCCGGTCGGATTCGAACCGACGTCTTCTTGCATACCGTGCGTGTTATAATTATTAATACAAAGATCGACAAAAGAATCGGAACGAACCAGCGGACCTCACGAATTTTTCTATGTGCTTGTCGTCGGATCTTTTGGATTTGGTTTTCAACGACTTTTAGCCGGCTACATTTTTTTTCTACGGCTAAAAAGTCGTACATATTTAATGATATTTAGAATAAAAAAAATTACTTTATTTTCCATGTTTTTCCATATTTCCAGGTTTAGGCCATATTTCTGCACGAAACTTTCAATTATCCATATTTTCAATATTACGTGATATTTTATTTAAATGTAAGGATGTCTCTTCACCATGACATTCAACCATTTTTTGTAAAATCACTTCACCAGTTTGTTAAAATTCGATAATCCTTTCTTCACTCAGCTTCTTGATAACTATGAAATTAATAACACTTACCTCATTATTGGGATCTGGGAAGCAGGTTTTAGCGTAAACAGTAAGTACGTTAAGGAGGGCCAATTGTCCCCATTCATCGACATCTGCTAACAGGGAACATAATTTCCTAAAACAACAAAATCTGTAAACCTTATGTAGAAGTTTCATTTACGACGAATTTGGAAAATAAAATTGTCTTAATTGTTCCGAAGTCCAGGGAAGTACCCCGAAGTTAATTTTTGTTCTGGTACTAATTGTGCTCATGGAATAGTTTGAGACCAGGTGACCGGTGTGGTTCCCTAGCACGTCATTATTTCGCCTAACGGTATAACAAGAAGTTCAACACATTAGCAGCAGTAGAGCTCCTTGTGAAAGAGGTCGTCCAGGCAGTACTTACTGCCATCTTACCTATTTCTGCCGCCAAGCGGTAATGTTTGCATTACTGTGTTCCGTTTTCGAAGGGTAAGGGTGCTTGTGAAATTACAGGCACATGGGACTTGTCGAGTTATGTCAGATCTTTGCGTTTAAAGCTCTCAGTGGCACTGCAACTGGTATGTACAGGCGTGTCGCTTACCATCAAGCGCGTGACTTGTTCGTTCTCTTTCGTCCTCGTATCATAATATCGTATATATAAGTTACCAAAGAATATTCTTAGATTTTATTTTTAAATAGGCACTTGATCATCGCCCCTTAATCTACGGGGAGAGTCCATGTTTGTACGAGAAGTCCTCAGAGGAACTGCTCGTAATGGTGTCACCGCCACTTTACCACCAACGCGCTTCCCATCAGAGGGTCCTATCTCTTCCTCCTTTCCATAAACGCTCTGTGTATTATATTTTGCCACATGTTAACATTATGCAAAAGCGATAAAGTATTGATTTCACGGATTATATCAAAAAATCAAGTAACCAAGCCTCGCAAAGTGGTCAGAGGACCACTCACCCAATTTTACATTAAAAAAAGTAAATTTATATAATAAATACCTGTAACTCCTATGTATAAGAGTCATCCGATCAGGGCAGACTTCAGAAAATGCCATAGCTGCCGAGCCAACTACCAGAGGTGCTTTGTCTGATAATAACTTGTCTATTATTGACACTAGTTCTTCTTTTTGTTCTGGGTCCAAGCTGTAATAAGGTTTAAAATAACTTGAATCTATAGAAGCTGAATAAATTATAGAAACTGGATAAAAAACAGCTATAGCTACCGGAAAACGGTCTTAGAAGACTGTCCATCATTTTGAGTAAAATCATGGTTTATACTATTACGTTTTTGTGTAAAAAAACTAGTGTCTGAGCCGAACATAATCGGAGAAATAAAACCTGCTCGACTTCGCTGGCTAGGACATGTGGGAAGAATGGGAGAGGGTCGAGCTGCCAAAATGAATAACATTTCTCTGATACCTGTAAAGCTTGGGAATAGCATGGGCAGCAGTCTTTCTAACGTAAGGACTCATGTCACTGGCCGAGTCGCGGATGGCCAGCATGACGATGGGCACGATCATCGGCACCCTGATGGAGGAGAGCACGCGGAGCGCCGACGCGCGGATCAGCTGGTTGGGGTCCTGTGGAACGTGGAAAGCTAATGTTAAGTAATGTATTGCATGTTTGTAGCCTTCGTTAGCCCAGTTTGTTATGCTTATCATATTTGCGTATGTATATGACAGCTACACAAGTTGGAAAGAAGGTTGGCGAAAGCTGTCCCAATAACGACGAAGAGCCGTTCATGGGCTTTGCTAGTATAATTTTGCGTTTTACATTATGCCTACTTATCAATATGTTTTTGTATATTTTTAGAAGTCGAGAATAAAAAAATTATAAAACATTGTATTTTAGAATAAATGCAAAAACACAACGCAATTGACTCCGTTCGACCATAAATTAGGTAACGTTCTTGTACGTTTCGTTTTAAGTATGATTGAATGTTTACCTACCTGAAGTATTGATTATTTTATAGTACACACATAAAACTATAAAATATCCATTGACTTACAAATAAATGGACGACGGGTCTAATACAAAAACCACGAAAAAAATGTCCCAGGTCAACCTATTTAAACGTAGTGACATGTAAAGGAGTATCAAAAAGCTAAAACGTTGAATTTAAATTGTAATGTCATCGCAGTACTGTCTAATTTTGCTTGCTTCGCTGTCAGTCGAACAAACGAAGACTAAAGCGTGAATGACGCTCTGTATACGATTTTAACGCCCTATAAGTTCGGACACTTTTTAGCGCGGACTCGACGTCCATATAATTGTAAGTCAATGAAAATATCTAATGAAATAATCAATTAAACAGTAATGAATAAAGCAAAAAAAAAACACAATGTGACAAAAATATTTAGGCCATAGTTTAAAGAGAGACAATGAAAGTTGCAAAGGAACGTTTTGACGAGAGACCTCTGGCCAATGTTAATGTCACGTTGATATTGAAAACAGTGTGACCATTTGTGGCAGATTTCTGCAGAACATGATAAGTTACATTAGATGTGGCAGTTTGGCGGATTTGGGACTATTCGGGAAGTTCTTTATTATTTTTGAGAACAAAACTGAAAACTTGTTGGTTTCTGCTATTACCAACAAACACCTGAAGCGACATACAGGACAATGTTATAAATATAATCTATATCAACTTTATAACCCCAGCTTCCACAGGCTGTACTCAATTAGCTTTTTTAATGCTTTGATAATGAAGCACAAGCATTGATAGGTCTCCTAAATGCACGTCGTCAAAAACATTGGGCACAAAATGCACGGGATGTCGCCATCCTTCTTTGAAATGGGTCAGCAAGCCCAGTTACCTTAACCGTCATAGTTACAAGAAAAGATATTTGGATTGGCATTCACAGATTTTGAAAAAATGGTACAGATAGCAAGTAAAAGGCAACTTTCACGAAACTTTTTTTCATACAATCTTATTTCTAGTAAGGACTAAAAGTTTCTACAATTTAGTAAACATAGAGCAGTAGAGCTTCTAGTGAATCCGTCTAGGGAACTACCACTGTGCCTAATTCAGCCGCCAAGCAGTAATATTAGCATTACTGCTTTCCGGTTTTGAACGGTAAGGGTACTGGTGAAAATACAGGCACACGAGACTTGTCAACTTATGTGTCAGGGTTACGGGCATAGTGGCAGAGCCGCTAAAATTTTTTTTTGCGATTTAAGGCTCTGACAGGCACTGCAACTGCTATGGACAGGCGTGTCGCTTACTACCAGGCGCACGACTTGTCCGTCCTGTCACTGAGTGTTATAAAAAGACTAACAATTTTAGTATCAAGAAACTTGCACAATTAAGAACATGCACAAACCTTGGAAAAAGTGTGCAGTCCTCCACCAGCATTGGGCCAGTGTGGCGGACTGACCTAACCCTCCCCTTAATCCATCCATTCATCTATCCATCCATCAATCAGTGATGATTATGATAAGTAGAGAAGTAATAGTTCTTAAAATAATAATTAATAAAAACCTTCAAAGCTCTCTGAAAAGTGCTGATGGAAAGCAGTGCCAAGTCCTGCTGCTCCTCTGCGTACCTCACCAGGTACACATACACCAGCTTTTTCACCTCTATATTCTTTGACACCACATTTTTCACCACTGCGGGGAATCTGTAAAAAGTAAAATATCACTTTAAGGATATTTTAATAAAATTATAAAATTCACTCAAACATATGTAAGACAGCGTTTTTCTAACTTTCACAAAATACAAAATTGAAAGGAAAACAAAACCATATTTATTTTATTCAAAGTTTGTTTCTAGTTTAATAGTTCAGTTAATAGTTTCCTTTGGGCAGCTATCACAGTTTTCATTTATAGGTACACTTACGGAGTGTGAGGTTGTTGCACTTTTAAGTGTGATGTGGCTAGACAGTTTGTTTTAACAGATTGACTCAGACCACCCTTGGGTAGAGTTGATACACCATTAGGTCTTCACAAACAACTCAACATTTCAGCCTGAGTCTTATTGGCCAGTGTACAAAGAGATAAACACTGCCCGACCATATATTTTTTGTGGTGGTTCATTTAAAACTTTAAAGTTCCAGGTGACCAACTAAAAAACAGGACATCCTTAAGCTGCGAGGTTGCTTCCTAACTGATTTAACAACTTCTAGAATTCCTGAAGGAGTTTGTACGATGTCATATACCAATATAGTGTTGACTTCGAGAATAGGTCCTTGTCACCTCATTATTAATTTGGTACAGGGTATTTTGGGCACTTCAATTCTGAATACCTAGCTGAATAAGCTATGTGATTTTAATGTCGCATTCAAATCAGGCATTTGTAGAAGTCTGTGGCAGGGCAACCGCGCCACTAACATACAATATCTAATCTGCACATGGCGCGACTTTGACGATGCAGTTGGTCGTCTAAATATTAATAATAATAATAATAATAAGGCAGACACTCAACATAGCCCCGCACTATGGAAACCCTGGGTCGCGGGTGCCATGGGCACACACATAGACAACCACAAATTACTCCCAAACTCACGAGAGAAATAAATGTAGGCCATACAAATATTTCTCCCGATACGGGAATCGAACCTGGGACCTTAGCGTGGCAGTTCGGTATGGTAACTGTTCAGTCATGGAGGCAGTCATAATAATTATTACAACTGCCAGTATGACAATAATATATTGTATAATAATAATTTATTTTTTCCACAAACATAATTGTTATACTAGAATCAAAATATAACATATATAGTCAGAGATATTACATTATGTTTGCAAGAGACTGGTACTTAAAGTAAGCAGAAGCTTGTAATATAGGAAACCAGGTCCCTGGCCTCGGATATTGATTCTTCAATAAAACATTGGAGAAGTTAATGACCAAAAATACAAATTAATTTTATGTTATTTATGAGATAAACACAAACAGTTACATACTAAACAAATAACAAACATTGAACAAGCAAGATTAAATAAATATGAACCAACAACGTGTTCCACAAATGTGCGACAATTAAGGCATACTATGAAATTTCGTATGGGGAGAAATTAAATAAAATAAATAGAAAAAAAAATTATATGTTATATAGCCACATACTTACATTATGTTCATATATACACATATATACATAACAATACATATCAAATCAGTTATGATAATAATTATAGATACCATAGAAATCAGAACGAGCCACTATTCACTATGACAGATACTTCACGATTATACCTGTACAGAGAGGTACTAAATGTATCCACATCCGGGAAACAATAATTATAATTGCAACACATCCTAAAAACTGGAGAGTGTTTGCCCGATATTGGTACGACAAAATGGCCGTGACAAAAGTACTTTATATCTATATTTAGGTGTACAAACGGGTACCTCAGAACAATCAATATGATTATTTATGATTTTATAGAGAAATGTGCTTAATGATTAGGTTAAGCCAAAGACTCATTTTTATATCTGACATCCACTAACTAAAACACGGCTGTGACAAATGGTCCAATATCCATTTTAAATAGCAAAAGATAGAGGACTAAATTCTCTTTTATAAACAGTTCAAATTAGTTAACATGTTTGACTTATCGGAACTTACCCTAATGATAGCATGGCATCGCTGAAATATCATTCAATAATTTCAATATTCTAAAACTGGATTATGGTTTTTTATGATATCTCTAAAAAATATTTTGTCACTTAGCTGCATTTTAGTCAGCGGATGGCAGATTTATTAACAAATAACAAAGTTACTAAATACAAAAGAAAAATTAGTTAAAAATAAAACTGTATAGTGTTGTGTGTGCATGCGCATACATTTGTGTGTGTGCTAGTGTGTGGATGGGTGTGAGTGAGTGCATGTGTGTGTGTGTAAACCGTAGCACCACTGCAGTGCTTCTATAACCAATCTATAAGCTTCTAATTTGAATGCCCTAATGAAATCTTTTAATTAACTTTCACAAATATATTCAATGGCAAAAGCAGGATCTTTTATTGCAGAAACTAGCCACTCCATACCATATTCCACAGCTACACCTGTACAGTTCAAGTTCAAAGAACACTTACAAGTCAGATGCATCTCTTCCTTTAGCAATCATGCCAATGATTCTCTTCATAGCCTCCAACTTAAGTGAGTCTTTCGATCCATCCAGCATCAGTTTTAGGTCTTCATTTCTAAAATGGTTCAATGAATACATGGTTATTACCAACATCAAACTAAAAACTAGAAACTAAATGTACTAAGAATTTAGCTATAAAATCGCGAACCACCTCACATTACTGATAACCGATTTATTAAAATTAAATGGATAAGTAATTTAGGGAAGAAGAATGTGATGCATACTCTTACATTCACGCTAGGGTGTTTCACCCTATTTCAATCCCAAAAAAGTTGGAAAAAGTATCAATATGAGTAAGTATCTCTGCTGTTGGTGTACTCACTTGAGTAGTGTAGCATGACGATTTGAGCACAATTTATTTGAGTGGGTATCAATACCTTGGTGCTATTGGAACAACAAAGGAAGGGATAATCAATTACCTAATCAATACAGATTCGAAAATCACCCCAATTGCATCGCTATTAACAGCAGCCAATGACACAATACTTTTCCTAACTTGAATTTCTCGAGTTCTACTAGTAAATAGAGCAAATATTTTGGTATAGTTTCAAAGTCAAAGATGAACCACAAAAAGACTAAGTACTTGATAAATAATCAAAATATGTATATTCCATAGCATTTAATCGTAAATACAATGGTTTTCATATAGATCAAATGAATATTTACCTTTTGTAATCGGTCTGAAAAAATGCCCCAGATGCAGGGTCGTTGGCCGGGTATTCCACTTCACCGGTTGCCACCATCGTATTATTATACGACGCAGTGTTCGCCATTATCACTAATTTATACTTTAAATTGCACAATCAACACTTTTTCTCATTTAAAATTTGAAAACATTCAAGAGAAATCGCACAAATTCTACAACTCTTGTTGACGTTGGACATGAAATGTCAAAAATTGCGTTTAGTTGCGGTTGATAGCAGTGAGTGACAGTTTTTTGCGTTTAGTTGAGTCTAAACGATACATTGCTTTATAAGCGGAGAGAGTGGGAAAATTAACTATATGAAAAAAATATTCCACACAGGAACAGCTATTTTGCACTATTTAACCTTCACTGGGTTGGCGGAGTAGCAAATTAAATTACTTCCACTTTCATTAACATGGACTTCTGCAAAGTAACGTTTGAGTCTATTAATTTGTTAATAAACAATTCATGGAATCAGGTTTGCAAAAATCCATGCCTAAAAGGGGTAATTCATTATCCTGCATTACAGTCCGCCTTGCCGTCGGCCGCGCAATGCAGGATTATGAATGTAGTAACAGCGTGCAAGCCTTCCTGCAATGCGTCCTGCGAGATTCCATTGGACCATACGCAGGATAGTGTGTAAGCAGTTTTGTGCCTGCGCGGCGGACTCCATGCAGGTAGTGAATGGGCCGTTTATTTCTTAATTAAAAAATGTAAAATGCATGAAATTAAAACAATTAACACAATAGCAGCTATTTGCGATTTAACATTCACTGAGTTCGCGTAGTTAGTAGCAAATTAATTTATTTTCTTTTTTTATCAGGATTGATAGAATTTCCTTTAATCTATTACTTTCAACCAAGGTCTAAGTTTTTTTTTTTTTTTTTTTTAATATATAATAGACACACGCTTGTACAAGTTATTGTCTAATGGGCGTTAGCTCGTCACAGTGCAGAACTTGATTATGAATTAAATTAAATCACTAATTGACTGTCGTCCATTTTCTATATTGCCAATTCGAAGGCGTATTACGTTCGCTCTGTATGAGGTCGCCACCGGCTCGTATTTCGCCTCCGCCCACTCGCCATCACAGCCCATTCGTTATCACTGGCAGTATGTGTCTGTAATTTTACCAGCACCCTTACTCGTCAAATTCGGAACACAGTAAGGGCGCATTTATTCGATACGAATTTCATCGCCCTCACCCCGCATTTTATTGAGAGGAATTTAAATGTTGTTGCTTAATAAATAGAATTTAGATTCGCCATTAATGTGCATGATGGCGTGGTAACTGGGCGGCAGCCGCGTGAAAACTTTCTTCTCGTGTAACTGGGCGCTAACGCTGACATTACTGCTTGGCGGCAGAAATAGGTAAGGTGGCACACAAGGTGACCTAAAAAATATTGTCGTAAGACAGTTTCCATTTTCTGTCTATGTTCCTCGAAGTTTGGGTAAAAAATCTCTACCTATTCCGATCCCTGTTAATTAATTATAATAGAGCTACATCGGTGTGCATAATAATCTGGTCACGTGTCGTCATTGAACTCATTAACAAGTGTTTGGATTCATTGGCGTGGTGTCGATTTCTGCTGCCAGCTATTTTTAACCGACTTGAAAAAAG